TGCTGAACCTGACGAGGAGAACGAAGTTCAAGGAAGACTTCTGGGACCAGAAGAGGGATGGAACAATCCCCTCACTGAAGATCACTATTATCTGTATGACGAAGACGAGCAGGATTGGAATCAGCAAATCACATTGCGGGAGAGCCCGCCACACGACAACCAACACTACGTACCAGTGGGATGGAAGGAGGACGAAGATCCTTTCTTCCACAGGCGCTACAAGGCAACCCTGGTGACTCCGCGACTGGCGCTACTTCTGCGCAGGAACAACACTGACAACTACAACACCTGGTACCTGGACAGCTGCTGCGGACAGCACATGGTGGGATCCACGCGATACGTTTCGAACCTGAGTCGCGCCCCCGCAACCTACGTCACCGTCGCCAACAACGAGCAGCTGCGCGCCAACACACAAGGCATTGTCGTTCTGCAAGCACGAGACAGCAACACTCACATCTCTTTCAACGACGTGCTCTACGTCCCGAATCTCCGCTTCAATCTGCTCTCGGCTGGACAACTCCGCGACTGTGGAGTCATAATACACACGGACCTTGCCACACGCGACCTCATCCTTACCTACGCTCCCCCGGATACACCTCCCGAGTCGTTCAAGTATCTCGGACGAGCCCGCTCAATCAACGGGATCTATATCCTGGACTTCGACGTACCTTCCTGCCAAGCGTCATCAGACGAGCTCGTGGACCTTGTTCCCCTCGAGTTCGCCTTCATGAACAAGGAATCATGGGAGCATCCGGACGGACGACCTTGGGTTTGCCGCAGCCCTCACCCCCGTGAGATCAACTTGCACGAACCAGACATCAACGGTCTCTGCACCACCTGCCACACACCCACTGCGAGCCGCACGGAGCAAGTCGAAAAGGACTATGCGGCGATTCAGGAAGCAGAAAGTGCCGAGGCAGAACCTACCGGCATGACCAGAGAAGAGCTCGCAGTGTCATCTTACCGCATCTTCGGCGAAGCAAACGACGCCTTCGGACAACAGCAAGCAGAACGGGCAGCGCCATACTCGAAAAATATCCGGTTCGTCCTTGAAGCTAACACCACCACCCTCGACGAAGAAGGACGACCACGCCCCTACACCCGCGAAGTTTACCGTCGCGAGATTGATCCAGCTTGGAAGGACCCTGACGCAAAAGGGGAACTAAGCGTCAAGGAAGAACAAGACAAGGCCCGGGCATAAAAGAAACAAATGAGGAGCGTGTTGCGAGGCGCTCTCGGCGCGGCGCGGAGCTTGTTCTGCTCGAATCCATGTCCTGCTGTTCGGACAGGAGTGCGGCGCATAGCGCGACTTCTGAGATGATTCCTCGCTGTCGGAGTAGCGCTTTACAGGGCTTCCACTCTGGCCCGAGTCCTTGAAGGACTATGTTGACGAAGATCTCTTCCGAGATTGTACTCCCATGCTTCGTGATCTGGTCACGGATGTTGCGACAGCGGTTAATATAAGGATTCGCTTTCTCCCCGTTCCCCATCTTTGTCTCCAAAAGTTGCTGCAGAAGCCTGTTGGCGGTGACCGAATCCTTCGGCTGGTAAACTTCAACGAGGTGCTTCCAAGCTTCCAAGGCTGGAGCTTCGCTCTCTTTGTAGGAGCGAATGTTGAGTTGTTCCTCAGGCGTCATGTTTCGTAGCAGCACACTGTAGGCCATGAGGGACTCGCTGTAGTACTGAGCCCTGGCGACTTCGGTGTTTTCCACCGGTTTAGGATAGGAGCCGTCAAAGTAATGGCAGATCTGCGCCGTTTGTAGGAGGAGCTCAAGCTCGAAACTCCATGTGTAGAAGTCCTTGCCGTCAAACGCGGCAGTAGTTTTGATTTTTGAAACGCTAAGGAAGCGTGTTTGCGCAGAGTTGATAGCTTCATCACTTGGACGGGGGGCAGTTGTTGTTGACTTGTCTGTGTCGAGGGAGAAGGTATGCGCGGCGGTATCACGGCTTTTCTCAGCCGGTTGTGCAGGTTGTACTGGTTGGGAAAAGGTTCCCGCATCGCCTTTGCGCAGGTCTTGGAGTTCTTTCTCCATAGTCGAAAGTCGAGCGAAAAGTTGCTCGAGAGCGGCAGTGCCGATCGTGGTTGTCGCCTCATTTGTCGGAGCCAGGTTGGTTTGTCCTTCAACCGTCGGATTTGCTTGGCCTCCGAATCCTCCGGCCATCTTGGTCTTGGAGCGTGTGCCGCTCGCCAGATCTTGGTTCGGCGAATTTCACGGAAGTGAAGTTGCGAAGAATCCCTGAGTAGCTCTGATACCATGTTACAATCCCAAGTGGGACTTATCGAAGGATCGCTCAGGGTTGATCGCAGAGTAGTGTTGCAGCGGAAGTTTGAATCTCAGGTCAGAGTGAATGTAAATGACTGAGTTGATAATAGCATGCATACATCGAGTTTATATAAGAATACAGGGGAATACGAAAAGACCTAGGCTAGCCATGTACTCTAAGGGGTACATTCCCTTATTACAGCAATTTCAAACCGTGCGGCGCGGGAACCCGTTTTGAACCTGTTCCCGCTCTTTTCACTTCAAATGTTTCTGCCTGCATCGGTCTTGATCAGGTGGTTGCCGCGTCGCTTCGACTCTTCTGACTCCTCGACTTCGTACTCGGTAGAGTCGGCTCCTGCAGCATACAGGAATGCCTTCTCATAAAACTTTATATTGTAACACGATGTAACTATATTAGGGCATGCACCCCTTGGAATACATGACTAGCCAGAACCATTTAATTTCATCCGTTATCCAAACAAACATATGTATGTCTGCGTTGTAGTGAGATTTGTCACCCTACCGACATTCACTCTGACAGGTGTGACTAATCATTCTACTACCTATGCACTACTTTGTGTGCGATCAACCCTCAAGACCCGGACTTTTACCAGAAAAGTAGTGCTACACGAGTGTAACGACAGAACGTACATCCGGACATTGTGGGGCAGAAAATCATGACAGCACTCGTAACAAGATGTCACGCTGGTCAAGCTGTCGTGTCGTAAACGAATACCATAATTGGCGATATATTCGTTCAATCCGAAGACAACGCAGGAGTGACAAATTTTATCACCCTATTGGATATGACCCAGAAAGTCATACATGCTTCACTGTCTAGAACTGTACATGGCATATATATATATGCATAAGTTGAACTGTACAAGTTCATCTGTGTTAGCTTTTCCACCGGGTCTTGCTCGAGTCGACACAGGATGGCGAGCGCGAGAACATGGTGCTACTTGTTATCTTTGGCGGCTTCTGCAAGAATGAGGAATGGGAGCAGGTGGCGTGACATTGGTTGATCGTGAGGATGAGGTTTCCCAAAAGTTAAAGCCCGCGACCCAAATTGCGGGCCGCGCGGGTCAAGATTTTAAAACTTGACGAACTAGTGTTTGCAAGGTTTAAAAAAAGCGCGCCTGCAATTTGGGACTTTCGGGGACTGAACCAACTCCCAGGGCGAAATAACCGAAATCGATAACGTTCGCCAAACCCCAGACCAGAAAAACCCCCTCGCGTCAAGTTGTGCAATTTGGGCTGCCGGCTTTAAATTCAAACTGGTGCCCCGACTCTTGCTGAGAAACGTTTTTGTTTTCCACCGTCCGGGACCTTGAGACATGCATCCAGACCGTACTGTACAGAGCGACCGAGGTGCCCTTCTTTCTTGTGCTAGCTTCCCTGATCTGTCTGACACCACTCAATATGTTTTTAGTTTTTTCCCGAATGACGCTTCGCATTGCGGGTGTGCCCTGTATTTCGCAGGCACTAACTTTTTGCCGAAAAATGCTTTTTTTCTACGGGGGAGATTGTTCGTGCTTTGCCCTCTACAGTCATGCGCTGAAGTAGTCCACGGTGCCCCCTGGAACCTCGACTCTGCCAATTTTGTAGCGGATGAATCAATTCCAAGTCTGAAGTCTGGACTCCAGTCGCGGAAACGGGTGAATATGCAGCCTGAGGAAACATGCCCCTTTCTCAGGTCTTGGGCGGTAATGCCCCCATCTTCAACACTCTCCAAGATCTTACCAAAGGAGAATGCGCCAACGATTGTGAAGGCATTTGCCTTGCCTTCACAGAGGCACTTCCTCCATTACACAGGAGTGTGATGAGTGACATTCCTGCTGGTTGCCTCTTTATGCTTTCTCCAGAGACTCTGCGCTGTTCCCGCATAGCATTCACCTCCTGTTATGGCGACGAATTAATCCCAGCCAGCAACGTCCCAAACTCAGTTTCTCGTGCATATGTTTCGCGCGAAGGTGCTCCCCTCTGCAAAGTCGAGTTAATTATGCTTCCGCCGTCGACTTTTGGGAAGCTTGCCGTTTTTCGCGAAGCTTGCCGTCGTTCAGCACTTCGTCGTAGACAGCAGCAGTAAGTTCGCTAGGACAGCAATGAGTTTGATACAGAGGAGTGTATTCGTTAGGAACAGCCGTAGGTCTCGTTAGTAGTTATGCTCCGAGTATCACATCCCACCAGGAGGGCCCGCATTCGTGTATGCTTGTTTCTTTGCTTGCTTTTTTTTCGTTTTCGGATGATTTGCATTCGTTACGAAGTGTTTCAAATTTCTCAGCGAATGCTACGAAGGCAGCGCCATAACAACGAAGTAGGTCTTTGGAGTGAGTAATTTCGATCTGCGCCGTCAAGACGAAATGCGTCGCCATACGATGGCCGGATCACGCATTATGGTCGTCACTGACGTCTCTCGCTAACACTGACGCTTTCCGTCATCGCTGGTGTTTTTATCGCTATCGCTGACGTCGATCCTTGACGTTTGTTGCTCTGACTGACAATCCTTACTCACGCTGACGTTTATCGTTATCCATGACGTCCGTCAATATTACTGACGTTCAGAGCTTCCCTGACGTTATCGCAGTCACTATTGTTACTCTCGTGATCGCAGTTACTATCGTTACGATTGTCCCCACCCCTGACGTTTATCGTTATCCCTAACGTTTTCCGTCAGCAGGAGCGAGGGTCATGGCGGCGGCGGTAATATTCGTGTTAGGGTTCGCTCTTGGGGCGATGCTGCTAACGATGTGGAAATACGTCATGGACCAGCGGCAGACGCTACGCGACCGCGAGGTCAGTGCGCCTGTATCGTACTACGTAACCTCAACCGTACCCCCATCCTTTCCCTTTCCCCCCCACCCGCCTCCTTGAAAATACGTCATGGATCAGCGACAGACGCTACGCGAGCGCGAGGTTAGTACGCTCGTAACGTACCGCTCAGGGCCCTCCCCCCAACCTCCCCCTTCCGCCTTCCTCCCGTCACTCCCCGTTCGCCCCAACCCATCCCAAATCCCCCAACCCCCCCCTTCCACCCCACCCGTCCCCTTCGCGTCTCCCCCGTACCTTCCAAACCGCCTTCGCTCTGCCCTTCGCTTTCCCCGCTTTCCGTCCTCCCTTACCTTCCCTCCGACTTCCCTTCCCCACTGCCTTCGCTCCCCCTTGCGCGCACATCCACTCTCCTCAGCGCGCTTCAGCTGGCGGACACTCTATCATAACAGCAATCATGTCCCCCTTCCCCCTTCCCCCTTCCCCCTTCCCCCTTCCCCCTTCCCTATAACCCCTCCCCCGTTACCCTCTTCCCCCTCCCTTATTTCCCTGTCCTCTTGATTCCTCCCCCATGCAGCATTCCCCATTCGCCATTCCTCCTTCCCCCTTCCCCCTAACCACCCCCCCCTCTCTCCCCCCTCCCCCATTACCCTGTTCCCCCTCACTTATTTTCCTTTCCCCTTGATTCCTCCCCCATTCAGCATTCCCCATTCGCCATTCCCCATTCCCCCTTCCCCCTCGCCCCTGGCGAGCAGAAGGCGAATATTCACTTTCTGAACGCGTCTCAGCTGGCGGACATTCGGTCACCCCTCCCCCATTCCCCCTCTATCCCCTCTCCTATTCCCCCTTCCGCCTACCCCCTCCTCCATCCATCACCCACCCATCCCCCCGCCCCCTTCCGGAGCAGAAGGCGGACATCCACTTCCTGAACGCGCTTCAGCTGGCGGACACTCAGTCATGCGAACAATCATGCCCATTCCCCATTCCCCCTCCCCCCTCCTCCCTACCCCTCCCCGATTCCCCCTGCCCCCTTCCGGAGCAGAAGGCGGACATCCACTTCCTGAACGCGCTTCAGCTGGCGGACCTCCGGGCTATCTGCCGTGAGGACACCCCCGGCTGGGTGCACTTCCAGGAGTTCGAACATGTGAGACGCTCATGGCTGATTGATATGGCTGATGATGGAGCATGTGAGATGCGTGATGGCTGATTGATATGGCTGATGATGGAGCATGTGAGATGCGTGATGGCTGATTGATATGGCTGATGATGGAGCATGTGAGATGCGTGATGGCTGATTGATATGGCTGATGATGGAGCATGTGAGATGCGTGATGGCTGATTGATATGGCTGATGATGGAGCATGTGAGATGCGTGATGGCTGATTGATATGGCTGATGATGGAGCATGTGAGATGCGTGATGGCTGATTGATATGGCTGATGATGGAGCATGTGAGATGCGTGATGGCTGATTGATATGGCTGATGATGGAGCATGTGAGATGCGTGATGGCTGATTGATATGGCTGATGATGGAGCATGTGAGATGCGTGATGGCTGATTGATATGGCTGATGATGGAGCATGTGAGATGCGTGATGGCTGATTGATATGGCTGATGATGGAGCATGTGAGATGCGTGATGGCTGATTGATATGGCTGATGATGGAGCATGTGAGATGCGTGATGGCTGATTGATATGGCTGATGATGGAGCATGTGAGATGCGTGATGGCTGATTGATATGGCTGATGATGGAGCATGTGAGATGCGTGATGGCTGATTGATATGGCTGATGATGGAGCATGTGAGATGCGTGATGGCTGATTGATATGGCTGATGATGGAGCATGTGAGATGCGTGATGGCTGATTGATATGGCTGATGATGGAGCATGTGAGATGCGTGATGGCTGATTGATATGGCTGATGATGGAGCATGTGAGATGCGTGATGGCTGATTGATATGGCTGATGATGGAGCATGTGAGATGCGTGATGGCTGATTGATATGGCTGATGATGGAGCATGTGAGATGCGTGATGGCTGATTGATATGGCTGATGATGGAGCATGTGAGATGCGTGATGGCTGATTGATATGGCTGATGATGGAGCATGTGAGATGCGTGATGGCTGATTGATATGGCTGATGATGGAGCATGTGAGATGCGTGATGGCTGATTGATATGGCTGATGATGGAGCATGTGAGATGCGTGATGGCTGATTGATATGGCTGATGATGGAGCATGTGAGATGCGTGATGGCTGATTGATATGGCTGATGATGGAGCATGTGAGATGCGTGATGGCTGATTGATATGGCTGATGATGGAGCATGTGAGATGCGTGATGGCTGATTGATATGGCTGATGATGGAGCATGTGAGATGCGTGATGGCTGATTGATATGGCTGATGATGGAGCATGTGAGATGCGTGATGGCTGATTGATATGGCTGATGATGGAGCATGTGAGATGCGTGATGGCTGATTGATATGGCTGATGATGGAGCATGTGAGATGCGTGATGGCTGATTGATATGGCTGATGATGGAGCATGTGAGATGCGTGATGGCTGATTGATATGGCTGATGATGGAGCATGTGAGATGCGTGATGGCTGATTGATATGGCTGATGATGGAGCATGTGAGATGCGTGATGGCTGATTGATATGGCTGATGATGGAGCATGTGAGATGCGTGATGGCTGATTGATATGGCTGATGATGGAGCATGTGAGATGCGTGATGGCTGATTGATATGGCTGATGATGGAGCATGTGAGATGCGTGATGGCTGATTGATATGGCTGATGATGGAGCATGTGAGATGCGTGATGGCTGATTGATATGGCTGATGATGGAGCATGTGAGATGCGTGATGGCTGATTGATATGGCTGATGATGGAGCATGTGAGATGCGTGATGGCTGATTGATATGGCTGATGATGGAGCATGTGAGATGCGTGATGGCTGATTGATATGGCTGATGATGGAGCATGTGAGATGCGTGATGGCTGATTGATATGGCTGATGATGGAGCATGTGAGATGCGTGATGGCTGATTGATATGGCTGATGATGGAGCATGTGAGATGCGTGATGGCTGATTGATATGGCTGATGATGGAGCATGTGAGATGCGTGATGGCTGATTGATATGGCTGATGATGGAGCATGTGAGATGCGTGATGGGTGATTGATATGGCTGATGATGGAGCATGTGAGATGCGTGATGGGTAATGGGAGGTAGAGCATGTGAGGTGGGCCATGGGTGATACAGCATGTGAGACGGGTGATTGGTGATACAGCGTGTGAGAAACGTGCGTGGGAAGGAATTGACACGTCAAGCGTCATTGACACCAGCGTCAAAGCGCTGCGTTGTGACGTGTGACGCGGAACGTTGGAAACTTGACGCTCGATTGGAGTGGAAGGGTCGTTTAAGAGTGTGGGGGGAAGGCGGCTTTACTAAGGGGCGGGTTCTAGGGTTTACTAGTCGATCCGCCAAATCATGCCAAGAAAATGGCAAGATTTGGTGGTTGACACGTTTGTAGGAGGAGGGCGGTTGGATTTGCTAGTTGTAGTGTGGTGGAGAGCGGTGGAAACATTGAATGTGGTTGGGGGAAGAGGAGGGGGGGATGTGTTTTTGTTTCACACTCTGTTGGACCTGACTGGGGTTGATTTCGCAACGTGCGTCAACACAAAACCGCATGTCAGGTTTTTTTTTATTTCCTCCGGTCAGCCTGAAAAGAAAACCTAGAGCATCAAGCTTCAACGGTGTTGTCCGTCGTCGCACGTCAAAACGGTAAGTTTTGATGCTTGACACTCCAGCCAGGGAGCGCCAAAGCCACATACACGTGGGATGGGAGATAGAGCATGTGGGATGGGCGATAGAGCATGTGGGATGGGCGATAGAGCATGTGGGATGGGCGATAGAGCATGTGGGATGGGCGATAGAGCATGTGGGATGGGCGATAGAGCATGTGGGATGGGAGATAGAGCATGTGGGATGGGCGATAGAGCATGTGGGATGGGCGATAGAGCATGTGGGATGGGCGATAGAGCATGTGGGATGGGCGATAGAGCATGTGGGATGGGCGATAGAGCATGTGGGATGGGCGATAGAGCATGTGGGATGGGAGATAGAGCATGTGGGATGGGCGATAGAGCATGTGGGATGGGCGATAGAGCATGTGGGATGGGCGATAGAGCATGTGGGATGGGCGATAGAGCATGTGGGATGGGCGATAGAGCATGTGGGATGGGCGATAGAGCATGTGGGATGGGCGATAGAGCATGTGGGATGGGCGATAGAGCATGTGGGATGGGCGATAGAGCATGTGGGATGGACGATAGAGCATGTGGGATGGACGATAGAGCATATGGGAAATCAGAATCAGAAAGGTTCCAACTGCATCAAGCTGTGTTGCCTCTTCCCTCCTCATCCCCACCCCCCCGTTTCTCCCCCTCCCCTTATATCGTGACTGGCAGGTGCACTGGCTGAACGTGCAGCTGCAGGAGGTGTGGAAGTATGTGGATCGGGTGAGTTGATGGGGGGGGGTGGGTTGGGGGAGTTGGGAAGAGGGGGTGGGTTGAGTTGGCGGTGACCGGGCGTGCCGAGGGGATGATAGGAAGGGTGGGGTGCGGAGTTGGGGCGACTGGGTGAGTTGGGGCGACTGGGTGAGTTGGCGTGTCACTGTATGTGTGAGCCATCTCATTCTCTCCCCATGCAAACCACGTCTCATTTGGTGAAGGAGGTCGTTGAGTTGAGCCCATACTCCACATTTCCTTCTCTCTCCCAGCGGCAGATCTCGTTTTTTCTTGTCTACCCCTCTCCCGCGCTGCAGGCCACATCCCATCTGGTGAAGGAGGTGGTGGAGCCAATGCTAGACAGCTACAAGCCCTCTCTCTCCCTCGCTCTCTGCTACAAGCTGCTTCTCCCCTCTCCTCTCGGTCCATGCAGGCAACATCTCATCTAGTGAAGGAGGTGGTGGAGCCAATGCTAGACAGCTACAAGCCCTCTCTCTCCCTCGCTCTCTGCTACAAGCTGCTTCTCCCCTCTCCTCTCGGTCCATGCAGGCAACATCTCATCTGGTGAAGGAGGTGGTGGAGCCAATGCTAGACAGCTACAAGCCCTCTCTCTCCCTCGCTCTCTGCTACAAGCTGCTTCTCCCCTCTCCTCTCCGTCCATGCAGGCAACATCTCATCTAGTGAAGGAGGTGGTGGAGCCAATGCTAGACAGCTACAAGCCGTCGGGAGTGTCGTCGCTGACGTTCAAGCGCTTCAAGCTCGGCAGCAATGCACCGCGCATCGAAGGTGAGCCTCGTGCGCCTCTTGCTCACAGTAGGTGCGGTGCGCCTGGTGTGGGAGGGATTGAAGCAGGAGAGCATCCTGTGCTGGGGGGACAGGGCCTTAGGGTTTCAACACTCCAGCTATATCCCCCTCCCTGCTCATGGCGCATGCTGCCACACCACATCCCCTCCCTGCTCATGGCGCTTGCTGCCACACCACATCCCCTCCCTGCTCATCTGCCTTTTATCATGTGCCACACCACAGGTGTGAAGGTGCAGCGGCTGGTGGAGCAGCAGGTGATGGTGACATGGACGTGTGGGTTGGGAGAAAGGAAGGGCCTTTAGCCTCAACATTTCAGCCTCACCGGTCAAGCGTTCCTCCTCCCTGCACATGTGCCATGTGCCACACCCCTCCCTCCCGCACAGGTGTGAAGGTACAACGGCTGGTGGAGCAGCAGGTGATGGTGGATATGGACTTGTGGGTTGGAGGGGGCTCGTCTATCATCCTTGCCATCGCCAGCATGGGCGTCAAGATGCACGTGCAGGTGCGGTGCGATGCAATGCGATGCACGTGCAGGTGCGGTGCGATGCGATGCGATGCACGTGCAGCGAGGGTTTGACAGGTGCACATGCAGTGCAGTGCAGGTGAGATGAGATGAGAGGGCGTCACGATGCACGTGCAGGTGAGCACATAAGACCTGTAGAGATTAAATGCAAGATGCATTAGCGAGGCGCGTGTGAGTGCCATGGGTGGGTGAAGGTTTGTTCGACTCGCTTTCTCTGTCAACCCTTTGAACGTGCCCTTTCTGTCTTCTCACCCCCCCCCCCCCCCCCCCCCCCCCTCTTGTCCCCTCCTCCCCTCTCTTCCCCTCCTCCCCTCGCTTTCCCTCCTCCCCTCGCTCCCCCTCCTCCCCTCTCTTCCGCTCCTTCCCTCCCCTCTTTTCCCGTCTCTTCCCTCCCACACCGCACCACACGCCACAACACCGCACCACACCACACCGCACTGCAGCTCAAGGACCTGGAGCTGAAGGCGAGGCTGAGGCTCATCCTGCAGCTGGGCGAGCAGTTGCCGTGCATCGATGCCGTCGTGATCTCCATCCACAAGAAGGTGCGCTCCTCACTTCATTCTCACTGCCCCTCTTGTTGACTCTAGCTGCGCTCCACTTGAGCACTTGCCTCCTTGACAGCAGCTGGGCGAGCAGCTGCCGTGCATCGATGCCGTCGTGATCTCCATCCACAAGAAGGTGCGCTCCTCACTTCATTCTCACTGCCCCTCTTGTTGACTCTAGCTGCGCTCCACTTCAGCACTTGCCTCCTTGACAGCAGCTGGGCGAGCAGCTGCCGTGCATCGATGCCGTCGTGATCTCCATCCACAAGAAGGTGCGCTCTCCTCTTCAGAACCCTTGCGCCAGAACCCTTGCGCCAGCACCCTTGCGCCAGAACCCTTGCGCCAGAACCCTTGCGCCAGTACCCTTGCGCCAGAACCCTTGCGCCAGAACCCTTGCGCCAGTACCCTTGCGCCAGAACCCTTGCGCCAGAACCCTTGCGCCAGTACCCTTGCGCCAGAACCCTTGCGCCAGTACCCTTGCGCCAGAACCCTTGCGCCAGTACCCTTGCGCCAGTACCCTTGCGCCAGAACCCTTGCGCCAGTACCCTTGCGCCAGAACCCTTGCGCCAGAACCCTTGCGCCAGAACCCTTGCGCCAGTACCCTTGCGCCAGAACCCTTGCGCCAGAACCCTTGCGCCAGTACCCTTGCGCCAGAACCCTTGCGCCAGTACCCTTGCGCCAGTACCCTTGCGCCAGTACCCTTGCGCCAGAACCCTTGCGCCAGAACCCTTGCGCCAGTACCCTTGCGCCAGAACCCTTGCGCCAGTACCCTTGCGCCAGTACCCTTGCGCCAGAACCCTTGCGCCAGAACCCTTGCGCCAGTACCCTTGCGCCAGAACCCTTGCGCCAGAACCCTTGCGCCAGAACCCTTGCGCCAGAACCCTTGCGCCAGTACCCTTGCGCCAGTACCCTTGCGCCAGAACCCTTGCGCCAGTACCCTTGCGCCAGTACCCTTGCGCCAGTACCCTTGCGCCAGTACCCTTGCGCCAGTACCCTTGCGCCAGTACCCTTGCGCCAGTACCCTTGCGCCAGTACCCTTGCGCCAGTACCCTTGCGCCAGTACCCTTGCGCCAGTACCCTTGCGCCAGTACCCTTGCGCCAGTACCCTTGCGCCAGTACCCTTGCGCCAGTACCCTTGCGCCAGTACCCTTGCCGGAGTCAGCAAGGTGCGCTCCTCTGCCTGGAGCACATGCCTGCTTCACTGCACCTCACTGCACCTCACTGCACCTCACTGCAGTGGGAGAGCAGCTGCCGTGCATCCACAAGAAGTTGCTCCCCATCACTGCGCTCCCCATCAATGCGCTTCCCATCAATGCGCTTCCCATCAATGCGCTTCCCATCAATGCGCTTCCCATCAATGCGCTCCCCATCACTGCGCTCCCCATCACTGCGCTCCCCATCAATGCGCTCCCCATCAATGCGCTCCCCATCACTGCGCTCCCCATCACTGCGCTCCCCATCAATGCGCTCCCCATCAATGCGCTCCCCATCACTGCGCTCCCCATCACTGCGCTCCCCATCACTGCGCTCCCCATCAGTACGAATTGTCACTCGACTCGAATTTTTTCAGTCGTCTCTTTCATTTACTTCAGCACCCCTTCTGCAACGCCCCCCATTCCCCCACTCCCCTCCCCCCCTTTTTCACCTCCCCCAGCCGCACATGCGCTACACTACAAGCAACGGGGAGATTGCCATGTCATGTCAGGCACCTTCTCATCCTCTCCTCCGCGTTCCCCCATCGCTACCCGTCCAACTTTCACCGCGCGCAGTCGCGCATGCGGATCGATCGACCACAAGCTGAAAACCATCGGGGGGCCCTGAGGCACCTTCTCATCCTCTCCTCCGCTTTCCCCCATCGCTACCCGTCCAACTTTCACGGCGCGCAGTCGCGCATTCGGATCGATCGACCACAAGCTGAAAACCATCGGGGGGCCCTGAGGCACCTTCTCATCCTCTCCTCCGCTTTCCCCCATCGCTACCCGTCCAAGTTTCACCGCGCGCAGTCGCGCATTCGGATCGATCGACCACAAGCTGAAAACCATCGGGGGGCCCTGAGGCACCTTCTCATCCTCTTCTTCCCTTCCTGCTTCCCCCTTCCACACCACCCCCCTTTCCCCCACTCCCTTCTGCTCGCAGCCGCGCATGCGGATAGAGTACAAGGTGAAGGCGATGGGGTGGTTGTGAGAGCGCATCGACGTGCCGCTCCCCTTCACCCCCCTCTTCCCCCTTCACCCCTCTTCCCCCTTCACCCCTCTTCCCCCTTCACCCCTCTTCCCCCTTCACCCCTCTTCCCCCTTCACCCCTCTTCCCCCTTCACCCCTCTTCCCCCTTCACCCCTCTTCCCCCTTCACCCCTCTTCCCCCTTCACCCCTCTTCCCCCTTCACCCCCCTCTTCCCCCTTCACCCCCCTCTTCCCCCTTCACCCCCCCCAGCCGCGCATGCGGATAGAGTACAAGCTGAAGGCGATCGGGGGGCAGCTGTCGTCCATCCCGGGGCTGGCGGGGATGATAGAGAGCACGGTGCACAGCGCCATCGAGAGCACCCTCATGTGGCCCGAACGCATCGTCGTGCCACTCGCCCCGTCGTTTGATGCCAGGTGAGTCTTTTGCCTGTTCTTGTGATGAAGTGATGTGATGTGATGTGATGTGATGTGATGTGATGTGATGTGATGTGATGTGATGTGATGTGATGTAATGTGATGTGATGTGATGTGATGTGGTGAGTGAGTCTTTTGACCCCTTTGCCTTCCTCTGGCCATCATACCTCTCTTCCCCCTTACCCTTCCGCACCCCTCTACTTCTTCCTCACCCCCGCTTTTTCCACTCTGACGAGTGTCTCGGACCCCTTTGCCATCCTCTGGCCTCCTCCCCCTCTCTCTCCACCCCCGCCCTCCTCCCGCCCCCCTCCCGCCTTCCGCCCTGCCCTATTCCTCAGCTCACTGGAAATGCACTATGAGGGTCCCCTGGTGGTAACCGTGTGTCGGGCCCCTTTGCCATCCCTCTCTCTCCCCCACCCTTGCCCAATCCTTGTCAGCTCCCTGGAAATGCATTATGAGGATTACCTGGTGGTGACCCCATGGAAGGCGGAGGGGCTGAAGAACGTGGATATGATGATTGTGTCGGACCCCTTTGCCATCCTCCCCGTCTCCCCTCCCCCGCTTGCCCAATATGTGTCAGCTCACTCGAGATGCACTACGAGGGTTCAGTGGTGGTGACCGCGTGGAGGGCGGAGGGGTTGAAGAACGTGGATATGATGAGCGTGTCGGACCCCTTTGCCATCCTCTGGACGCACTGCAAGCACAAGGCCGTCACCCGCACCATTGACAATGACCTCAACCCGGTCTGGAACGAAACTTTCGAGCTGCCCGTGGACGACATCCACACTGCGGAGCTCTTCATTCAGGTCTGTCTGCCCGCCCAAACGTTCCGTTCGGCCTGCTCTGCCCCCCTCTTGCTTGCTTTGCTTCGCCCTGGCTGCTGCTTGCTTCGACAATCCTCCTTGGAAACCTTCTCCTCATTGGTTGCCAACATTGCCAGTGGTGCCAACATGTTACTCTCTGTTTTTTATTTTCTGCAATTTTTCCCCATTGACTGCCCTCTGTGATCCTCCTCTGTGAAACCCCTCTTTGATTCCTCAGGTGGAGGATGAGGATAGCTTTGGGAGTCAGAACCTGGGGTACGCTATGTACCCTTTAGTGGACCTCCTCGATAAGGACACAGTGCAGACGGTCACGCTGACGCTGCTGCCGAAGCTCAACAACGACCGCATGCTTGGCATCGACCACAAGCTGGGGCGCATCACCCTGCAGGTGGGTGAGGGAACAAATACGGTGCACCACGGTGCAGGTGAGGGAACGAACACGGTGCACCACGGTGCAGGTGAGGGAACGAACACGGTGCACCACAGTGCAGGTGAGGGAACGAACACGGTGCACCACGGTGCAGGTGAGGGAACGAACACGGTGCACCACGGTGCAGGTGAGGGAACGAACACGGTGCATCCCTCTGGTGAGAGAATGAGCTCGTCGCATCACGGTGCAGGCTTTTGTAAAAGGCTACAAATACGACTTCAACACTACTTGCAAAAAATATCAAAACGTGAAGACTTACTCTTAAGGTCCTTATCACAGTTCCACTCACAAAATTAAGCATTAAAGGTACAATTAGGTGAAGGTTGAATGTTGCTTGTCCGTATTTCTATTCTAAGGAGTCAGAGGAATCAGCAAAACCATAGTACCACAGAAAGAAACACTTTTTAACGAAACAGAACCAGAGGTTGTTCACCAACGGAAACATTTGTTGTTTTGTCCAGCCGGTGGGATTTTGTTTCTTGAAGTTGTTCAGTATCATCCACAGCGCTTTCAATTCAAACCCCGCCAACAAATGTTGCCTGCGTTCTTAGGACATAACAACCGAGTCAAGCAAACTTTCTATACATGCTCCTCCGCCCCTCTCCAAACCCCGTTTTCCATGGCCACGGCAGATGGTGTATTGCAGCTATACGCCGAAGGAGAAAGTGTAGGTGACAGACAGCAGCGGAGAAAGCTCGAGACTTGAAGCCCAGCAATCCCAAGCCTATGCTTTCCTCCACCCTCCCCCCTGTTTCCCTCCCTCCCGGTTGCATGAGTGCAGATGGTGTATCGCAGCTACACACCAGAGGAGAAGGTGCAGGTGACCGCAGCAGAGAAGGCCCGCGACCCCAAGGTGCGCGACTGTCCGCTCTCCCCTGACGCCACCCAGCGTGCCTTCGCCACCGCGCTCCTCTCCGCCCGCCACCGCCAACTCTCCTCCCTCTTATCCGCCGCCGCCTCCGCCTCTGCGTCTGCTTCTGCTTCTGCGTCTGCCTCGCAAGGCAAGCGAAGAGTCCGCTTCTCGCGCCAGTCTTACGGTGGTGCGGGGGACGGTGGGGCGGGGCATGGGAGTGTGTGGGAGGGAGGGGAGGGAGGAAGTGGGACGGGGGATAAGGGAGGAGGGAGTGGGTGGTGGTGGTCGTGGTTGTCGTGGTTGCTTGGTGGTGGTGGGAAGGCGGGAAGTGGAGGGGATGGTGGTGGTGCCTCGGGCGGTGATGGGTCTGGTAGCGGCTTCAGCAGTGGCTTTGCAGACGCAGCTGCTGCTGCTGTCGCTGAGGCTGCTGCTGCTGAGGCTGCTGAGGCTGCTGCTGCTGCTGCTGCTGCTAAAGAGGAGGAGGAAACTGAGGATGGGGATGTGGATGCTGATTATGGTGACGGCAGCAGCAGCAAAGGTAAGCAGGGTGGAGCAGGAGGGGGGGGCAGTAGCAGCAGTGGTAGCAAGAGCAGGGCACTTGATAGACTGAAGAAAAAGGGAGAGGGCGAGGGCAGTGGAGGAAGGACCATGTGGGGATCACTTAAAGGGTGGGCAGGCGGGCAGAAGGCAAAGGGGAAGAAGAGTGGTGGTGAGGGGTGGGACGCGGTGGCGGATAAACTGGTGGAGACATCAAAAGGACGGGAGCTTCGGAGGAGCTTTCAGGTGTCGAGGGAGAGTAGGAGAGAGGGAGGAGGAGAGGAGGGGGAGGATGAGGATTTGGAGGATGAGGAGGAGGAGGACGAGGAGGAGGAAGGTGAAAAGGGGTCTCCTTGTGTGGAAAACGGAGAGGAGGGTGAAAGAGGGATGGATGGGGAGGAGAGTATGAGGGAGGGGGATTATGGGGCTGGTGGGCTTGGTGCAGGCTCAGAACGGGGAGACAGGGAGGGGGGAGAGGATGGATTGAACAGCGACACAGGGAGGAGAGGTGCGGGGGAAGAGGTAGCGCGGGGGCAGAGGATGAACGGTGAGCCGTTGAAAGAGGGATGCGCGCTGCAGGAGAATTCAATGGAGGGAGGAGAAGGCAGTGGGGAAGAGAGAAGTGCAGGAGAGAGAAGTGCAGGAGAGAGAAGTGCAGGAGAGAGAAGTGCAGGAGAAGGGAGAATGAATGGGGAGATGAAGACGGGTGAGAGAGAAGGTGAGGGAGGGGGCAGCGGTGGTGGAGGGGCGAGTGGCAGGGACGGGCAGAGGAGGGGTGACGGGCAGGGAAGGGGCGTGGGTGGCGTGCAGAGGAAGAGGGAGGTGAGGCGGATGCTGCTGCGGGCGATGCTGGAGCGCAAGGAGAGCCCCGAGCGCAAGGAGAGCCCCGAGCGCAAGGAGAGCCCCGATGTTGCACGCTCTCGCTCTGGCTCTGCTGACGCTGTTGATGCCGGTGATGCTGCTGGTGACGGTGCTGGCACTGCTGATGGTGGTGATGCTGCTGCTGGTGGTGGTGGTGGTGTGCGGAGTGGGAATGGTGAGGAGGGCGGTGGGGTGGGCGTGAGCCATGGTGCTGGGGAGTGGAATGCGGTGATGGACGGTGTGGTGGAGTTGGTGCAAGAGCAGGAGCGGGAGCGAGAGCTGACAAGGAGTATGCAGGTGTCGAGGAGATGGAGGACGGGCGGTTTGGCAGGAGAGGAGGATGGGGAGGAGTGTGGAGACGAGGAGGAGGGGGAAGAGGAGGATGGAGAAGAGGAGCGGGGGAATGGGGATGAAGAGGATAAGGGGAGTAAGGGGCAGATGAACGAAGAGCAATCAAGAAGGGAGATGGAGGTTGGGCAGGCGAGCAAGATAGGTGGTGCGGTGAGAAAGAGGGAGCTGAGGAGCTTGCTGCTGGGGGCGCTGTTGGAGAGGAAGGACAGCCCGCGGGGATTACAGGCTAGCGTGGACCTAGCTGTTGGTGATAGCGGCAGTGGCAGCGGCAGTGGCATTGGTGCTGGTGCTGGTGCTGTTGCTGGTGCTGGTTCTGGCAGTGGTCGAAGTGGGGAGGGCAAGGGGCTGAGGAGAAGGTGGGGCGCCCTGATAGAGACCTCTCAGGCCTCTACTCCTCGCTCTGCCGCCGGTGCCGCCAGTGCCGCTAGTCCTGCCAGTGCTGCCAGTGCTCCCGTTGTTACCGGTGCTGCCGGTGCTGCTGCTGCTATTGCAGCGGCTATTGCTGCTGCAAGGGATCGAAGGATGGCCTCTTCCTCCACCGCTGCTGCAGCTGTTCTGTCAGGGAGTGCTAGAAGGAGTGATGTCTCTTCCGCTGCCACAGTAGGGAGTGTGAGTGCTGGTAAGCTTTCCAACGTAGTAGCTGCTGTGAGTGCTGCTGCTGGGAGTGCTGGTGCTGGGAGTGCCGCCGGGAGTGCCGCTGGGAGTGCCGCCGGGAGTGCTGTGGGGAAGAAGTCCTTAAGTGGGATGGCACGGGCGGTGGATACGGGTCGAGCCTTCAGCCAGGCTTTAAGCATCCTTGCGGATAGGAAGATGCCTGGAAAGGGACTGGGAGGGAAGGGGCTTGCAGCGGTGAGGCGTGTTGGAGGAGGAAGGGGGCACATGCGCAGTAAGACGGTTGAGGATGCGCCTTCCTTTGAAGCAGATGAAACGGTGGTGGTGGGAGATGAAACGGCGGTGGCGGGAGATGAAACGGTGGTGGCGGGAGATGAAACGCGTGGGTGTGATGACGATGGGCAGAAGGTGGTGCGGTTTGGAGCTGGCGGCAAGGCAAAGAGCTATGCTGCGCTGGAGGGTGTGCTTGGTGGAGACATGGACACGCAGGGAGATGACTTGGAGGGAGATGGCGACGCAGAGGTGTGGGAAATGTCGTGTGTGGCTGTAACGAGTGTGCCTGTAACGGGTGTGGAAGCAGCAAGCAGTGGTGCCAGTGGTGCCACGGATGTCACGGGCAGTGCTGAGATTGGGAGGAGTGTAGAGAGCTGTGAGTTGAGTGAGCGGAGAGCGGGGAGTGACAGTGCTGACTGTGCAGGGGCAAGGGGGCAGGCAGAAACAGATGCTGAATTGCGAAGAGGGAGTGAGAGGCGTGGGGGGCAAGGGAGGGTTGGGGAGGGGGAGAGGAGTGGAGAGGGGGCGGATGAGGGCATGAGGGAGGGCGGTGGAGGTGGGGAAAGGGGTGAGGATGACGTGAGAGGTGATAGGCGTGAGAGTGAGGAGAGCGCTGAACGAGATGAGAGAGGTGAAAGAGATGAGGGTGACGAGAGAGGGGAGAGAAGGATGGAGGATGAAGAAGAGAGAGGGAGGCAGAAGGGAGAGGTCGGAGGAGGGAGTAGAGGAGAGGGTAGGATGGATAGCGTGGATGAGTGGAGTAGAAGCCATGTAGGTGAATCAGCGAGGCTGGCAGATACAGTGGAGGGTAGAGCAGGGGAGTGCAGAGAAGGGGAAAGCAGAGGGGAGGAGGGCAGAGAGGAGGAGAGCAGAGAAGGGGATAATAGAGAAGGGGAGAGTAGGGAAGGGAAGAGCGGAGAGCAGATGGGCTTGAAAGAGGAGAGCATGGAAGGAGGCTCTGTGGCTGATTCATTGACTGCATGCTCTGTACTGCCGCACGCTGCCAGCAGGCATACTCCCTTAGGGGGGCAGGAAGGTAGGGATTTACCTGGGGGGAGAGAGGGAATGGGAGATGATGACACAGTGATGAGTGGAAGAGGGGCTGACACGTGGCATCAAGGAGATGAAACTCTCGTGCAAGGAGATGAAACTCTTGAGCAAGGGGATGAAACTCGGAGGGAAGCGGAGGTGCTTGTGGCTACGGAGGCTGCGTACTGTGAGGGGGAGGTGGAGGGAAGGGGCGTAACAGGCAAGGACACAGGGCACAGCCGGATTGTGGGTGGGTTAAATGCTCTGAGAGAGCAGGGTGATGGGAAAATGAGTGACGAGAGAAAAGGAGATCATGAGGAAGAGAGACGAGGAGGAAATTCGGATGACGAGAGAAGAGGAGGAGAGGAAGAGGGAACAGGAGGAGCCCAGGAGGACGAGAGAAGAGGACAGGAGGAAGGGAGGAGAGCAGGAGAGCAGGAGGAAGAGAGAAGAGGAGGGGAGCAGGAGGAAGAGAGGAGAGGAGGAAAGCAGGAGGAAAAGAGGAGAGGGGGAGAGCAGGAGGAAAAGAGGAGAGGGGGAGAGCAGGAGGAAGTGGGAAGAGGAGACGAGGAGACCATTGGCCAGAACGGGCAGCACGAGGGAGCAGCAGCGGATGGAGCAGCAGCGGATGGAGCAGCAGCGGAGGAAGCAGCAGCGGAGGCTGGAGGGAAGGAGGGTGTAGGAGAAGAGGTGGTAGGAGAGGAGGGGGAGGGAGAGGAAGGGCGGGGGGAGGGGGAGGGAGGAGAGGGAGGAGAAGAGGAGGCGAGTGCGCTGGCAGTGAGCGGGCCCCAATTGAGCCCTGCTGCGCGGGGGTGGGGTGGAGCATGGCTGGGCGCTGCTGTGCATGTGAGTCGAGTCGCGGGCAAGGCGATCCGTCGCACCCCTGCCTCCGTTGCCGCCTCTGCCGCCGCCGCCGCCGCTGCTGCTGCTGCTGCCCCTGGGTTTGGCGCTGGAAGAAAGTCCGGAAAGAAGCTGTTGGATGCTGGGAGGAAAGAGGAGGTGGGCAGTGAGGAGGAGGAGGCAGTTGAGCAGGCTGTTGAGGTGTCTGAGAAGGCGGTTGGGGAAGCTGGAAAGGGTGAGGGAGAGTGGAATGACGCTCCCTTCTCTTTTACTGCTCCGTCTTGGTCTTTCTCTGCTGCGCCTGAACTTCCTCCTTCTCTTGCTGACCCAAGCCTGAAAGCTGCAGCGTCTTCGGTGCCTACAGCACCAGCGCCAGAAGCAACGGCACCAGCAGCACCAGCAGCAGCAGCTGCAGCACCATCACCAGCACTACCAACAGCAGCAGCAGCAGGGGCAGCAGTAGCAGGGAGTGCAGAAGCAGCAGGGGCAGCAGCGGCAGGAGAGCAACAGCAGGAGCGAATGAAGCCACCAACCATCCCCATCCCCATCCCAGTGCGCACAGCAGCAGGCATGGACCTCGTCTCCTCTTCCCGCACCCCCTCCTCCTCCTTCAACAGGGTTACCTTCTCCACCCTGCCTTCCCCCCGCTTCATTAGTAAGTTTCTGGGATCCGCCAGCCCAGGTTTATCCAGTCAACCAAGTCAACCCAGTCAACCCAGTCAAGGCAGTCAAGGCAGTCAGGGCAGTCTTCGCAGCTCTGGTCAATCGAGTCAGCTCAGTCCCAGTCTACTGAGTCCTTACGAATCCAGTTCCAGTCAAGACATGGAAGCCGGTCAGCTGGACCGATACGACTCTGAGCCACGTCAGCTCAGCCGCCACTACACTGAACCTAGTAAGTCCAGTCGTCACTACACCGAGCCTAGTCAGCAGCACAACCGGCCTCTCCAGGCGAATCGGCGAACCAAGTCGTTTGAAGATCTCGAAGATTCCGAGTTGGTCAACATGGGGGACGAATCCGGACCATTGGATGCTGAAGACATCCGCGTCCGCTCGAAATCGGCTCGTCAGCAAGCGAGGAGCAACGGATCAGCTTCGGAAAGGGTAGGCGTGACAAGGTCAGATCCTGAAAACCTGGACTCTAGCTGCGTAGGCTCGGAAAGGAGCGCCTTGGGAATGCCCAGCTTTATTGGCTCTTCTAGCCCTTACCAGGACATCCCAGGGGGAAAGGGTTTGGGCAAAGGGAAGGGGAAGGGTGGAGCGTGGGGATTTGCTAAGAATGTGAAGAATGTGGGGCGGGCGCTTAGAGGAATGAAGGGCGGCACCAAGTGTGTGTATTCTCCGGAGGAGTTGCGGGATAGGTTGGAGGATAGGCGAGAGGAGATGGAGAGCATGGCTGAGATGGAAGGGAAGCGTGCAAATGCAGATATGGATCTGGATTGATTGAAAAAGTCGGTTGCAAAATTGGGTACTACCGTAATGGAGTAGTTAGTTCTTCTTGATGTATTGTTCATGTGGTTAGGCACTCCTTGTGTTTAACCTACGGTATTACCGTATATACCTGCATTATGTTGTGTGGTGTTATCCACCCAAATACTAACTTCACTACTACGTTGTTGCTGTTGCGATCAGAAGTTGATCGTAGCCAGGATCACCTCAGGAAGGTTCGCACACTTCTAGTCTAGTGGTGGTGGGCCCTTGACCTCAATAGCAGAGTGAATGTAAATGCTTGAGATGATAAAAACATGCAGTACAAGGAATATAAATAAGAGTACAGCGGAATACAGGCCCTCAGATTCACTTTTAGGGACGTTGATGCATCAGGGTCCCTGTGAAAAAATGCCTGATTTTTCAGGGTTCCAAAAAAAAAAAACCTGAATTTTCAGGGTTCCTGAAAACAAAAGCCTGAATAGTCAAATTTAACATGGATTTAGCTAAAATGGACTCGAACCGCAGACCATTTCATTCCGAATATTTCGCTACCCACCGAGACATTTCACCCTGTCAGTTGTCTGTATGTTATTTATATATATATTAAAAGTAAAAATGTTGGTCTCTCGGGTATTTTACGGGAAGGATTCGGAATGTGCATTCAGTGTACACTTCGATAAAAGTCTGAAACATCAGTGTTAGCTATGACGTAAAGGCTGAAAAAATTAGTGTCCCAAAAATCTCAACACTGAAAAATCAGGGGAGGTACACAAAACTAAGCTGAAAATCAGGAATTTCAGGGGAAAATTCCTGATATCGTAGGGCCTGGCGGAATACGAAACGACCTAGCTAGCCATGTACTCTAAGGGGTACATTCCCTTATTGCAGCGAAATCCAACCGTGCGACTCCGGGTGGTTACGGAACTGTTCGGGCAGAATCCTCGCCACTGCTGCTGCCTGATGCTGTCTGCCCGACTGTCCAGATGCTCCTCGTAACCGTACGTCCCTTCGCATTACTTCTGCCCTTTCGTCTTCATTCTCGGTAGTGCGTGCTTCGATTTGCTACGGTGAGGAGTGCACAATAGTGTTTCAATAACCACTATTCGTAACACCCCCCTTCACTCCTGGCCGTAGCGAGCCTTGACCCGCTTGACTACCCCGCTGAGTTCGGAGCAGTTTCTTCGTGAGGAAATCTGTTGCCATGTCACCTGTCGGGCAGTAAGTCAGGTCAACCTTGCCTTTGTCAACTTCGTCCTTGACGAAGAAGTACCGCAGTGCGATGTGCTTGGTGCGGTTGACGAAGCCAGGTTTGTTCGCGATCCTGATCACGCTCTGGTTGTCGCAGTGCAGACGAAAATTCGCTGAGGCCGGGATTTTCGCCTCCTGCAGCAACTCCTGAAGGTAGAGACCTTCGCGAACAGCCGCTGTTGCTGCGATGAATTCTGCTTCCGCTGATGACAGGGCAACCAACTCCCGCTTTTGAGAATTCTAGGGATGGGGCCGCTGGGCTCGAGGCGGAAGAGGAAACCTGTCCTGGACCGTCGATTGTCAGGATCAGCGGCGTGATCAGCGTCCACGTAGCCGATGAGACTGAAGGATGCGGTTGGGATGGTGGAGTAGCAGAGCCCAACATTGGGCGTAGAGATGAAGAATTGAAGGGCTCGCTGAAGATCCGAGACATTCTCAGCCGTTGGTTTGCGTGAGTACTGAGCCAACTGGCTCGCGATGTAGGAGAGGTCGGGCCTGCAGGTGACAGATGCAAAGAGCAGGCATCCCAACTGCTGCTGGTAGGTGTGAAGCCCAACAGGGGACAGGGCTTTGCTGTCAGGCTTGTGGTTGGGTCCTGGAGTGCGGTAAGGGGTGGAGAGTGGTGCACGCGCAATGTTGAAACGCTTGCTAAGCTCTTCTGCATACTTCGCTGCTGAGAGATGAATGGCTTCCGGCGAGTAGGTGATATTGAGCCCGAGAAACTGCTTCACGTCATGATTGCAGGTGATGTCGACGCGCCCTGCGAGACTCTTCTCAAATTGCTCAAGCAATTCGTTGCTTGACCCTGTGTAGAGGAGGTCGTCGACGTAGACCGTGAGTAGGATGTATTCTCCGCGGAAATCGCGGCGATACATCCCAGGGTCGTGAGGCAGCTGCTTGAACCCGATTTCAAGAAGTATGTTGTGCATGTACCGCTGCCAGAGTCTCGGCGCCTGTTTAATCCCATAAAGGGACTTGCGTAGCTGACAGACACGTGGGTCCCCGTCGCCGTATGCGTGCGGCTGCTCTACGTAGATCACTGCATCTACTAACGCGTATAGGAACGCGTTCTTGACATCAATCTGTCAGAGCGGCAGGTGTCGTGCTGCTGCGATGGCGAGGAGAATTCTAACGGATGTGTGTCGGCTAACCGGTGCGAACGTCTGGTAGAAGTCGATCCCATGCCTTTGATCGTATCCTCGCACCACCCACCGTGCCTTGAATCGCTCGATCGTCCCGTCAGCTCCTGTCTTCACGCGGAAGACCCACTTTCCGGAGAGGATTCTTCTCCCCTTCACTGCTGCACGGTCGACGAGCACCCAGGTGTCGCGTGACTCGAGTGCCCGGATTTCCGCATCCATTGCTTCGCGCCACTCCTTGCTGTGTGGGCCTGTGAGAGCTTGCCGTGGGTTTTTAGGCTCGATGATGCGCGGTGCCGTGGAGATGGCAGCGTGAAGTCCCAGAAGCTGAAGGCCAGTGACGGTGTTGTCGTGGCGACGCTGGTGGTGTTGTGTCTCCGCCGCTTCCGCTTCCTCCTGCTGCGCCTTCTCCTGCTGCACCTCCTGTTGCGCCCGCTCCTCCTTCTCCTGATTCATCGTCGTCGTCGTCGTCGCGACGATCGCCCCTCGTGAACTCGCCTCTGGGATCCTGCTCCAGAATTGCTGCTGCGGCTTCGTCCTCAGGTGAGGCGTAGCTGTGGCCCTCGTTGGCGTAGACGTGGTTTGCGTTCGTCTGCTCGTCATCACGGAATTGCCGCAGGAAGAGCCGCTCGTAGAAGATGACGTCGCGCGCATTCTTGATTTTCTGGCTCAGGAGATCCAGGATGATCCACGCTTTGTGTTCGTGGCTGATGCCGAGGTGGATTCCCCAGCGCGCGTGGCTCTTAAATTTCCCGATGGTTGATGTTGGCGGTCGGTATTGGACCATGCACCCCCATACGCGGAGCATGGAAGTGTCACCCTTTCTTCCCGTCCACTTCACATGTGGCGAGGAATTGCCGGTGATCGCGGTGGTTGACAGCAGGTTGTGCACCCGCACGGCGTGATGCATTGCGTAGGTCCAGTAGATCGGCGGCAGCTTCGACTGCCTCATTAGCGCCCGCACCTTCGTCATGAGGGTGCGATTCGTGCGCTCTGCTACGCCCTGCTGCTGGTGCGCGTAGGGGAGAGAGATGTGGTGCTCGATCCCCTTTTGCGCAAGGTAATCTTGCAGCTCCTTGCTCCTGAATTCTGCCGCGCCGTCGGACTGCCAAATCTTCAAATTTTCCCCAGATTGCCGCTGCGCGTGCGCCAGCCACAGGCGGAATGCTTCGTAGGCTCTGCTGCGCGCTTCTACGTTTACGACCCACACGTGGCGCGTTCCGGCGTCGACGAAGGTGAGTGTGTAGAGCTCGTCGTTGATGCCGCAGTGTCCTACGTTGAGAAAGTTACTGTAAACTTTCTCCAGCTTGGCGTAGCGATTGGTTCCTGGCTTGAGCAGGGGGAAGGGCTGGTGACTCAGCGCAGCTTTGGGGCAGATGGTGCAGGTGCACGGGTGAGTTCCGCCTCTTACTTCGGAGCCGTCAGGGCGCAGTAGTGCGCCAGGTGCAAAGACGCCGGCCTCAATACAGTTCTTCAGGGTCACGCGCGAAGGGTGACCTAGGCGCTGGTGCCAGATGGCGTCGTCGGCGCGGAATCCGGAGGTGCGCATGTAGCGCGCGAGTGCCGCTGCGGGGTCTTCATCAGGTGCTTGGGTAGGTGTAGGTGCTGCTCCCTCGTTCTCTTCTTCTTCCTCGTTTGCCGTCGTTAGCATGAGGGCGAGAAATTCTTTGTCGCGGATGATTGAGTAAGGGATGTTGGTCCCTGGGATCGTTCCGAGCACTAAGGTTGGCTCGCGAGGTTCGGGAGCAGGACCGTAGACGGTGCGGCGCGGTGTGGATGGCTCATTGCCCCAGTCAATGGTGTCCCAGGGGTCGCGTTCCGGCTGGAAATCAGGCGGGGGCAGGGTAGATGTGAGGTGACGCGGTGGGCGACCAAGAGGAACAATCGCTGGTTCTGCCGTTGCTTCTTCTGCTGCTTCTTCCTCTACCCCCCTTTTGTCCTCGCGGAAAGCTCCCCAGCCGCTCGTCTCGCCGCCTTGGACGGTGCCCCATCCGCCGACGTTTTCGCCTGTTGCTGCGCCCCATCCGCCAGTTGCGGCACCCCACCCGCCAGTGTCGCTTGTTCCCCACCCGCTAGCGGTCCCCCACCCCCCTTCGTTGGAGGCGCTCTCCTCGTCGTTCTCCCAAGCGAGCGTTCCGCGCGCTTCGGCGAGACTCTTCTGTCGAAGCTCTTCGGCTTCGCGTTGCGCCAGCGCCTCTTCCTCCATCGGCGAGAGTGTCTGCTTCGAGTCGCGCCGGTGAGAGTATATTGCAGCCGCCGTTTCTTCGGTGTAGGGTCGTGGGTTGCCGTGTGCGTCGAAGGTTCCGACGCCGACGCCGCGAAGCATTCCTTGGAGATGCTGGGATGCGGGTCCGGGGAGAGGATGTTCTGGTGTGCCGAAGATGACCCGCGTAGCTGTTTCCAGCTCCAGTTGGGATAGACCCTCTCCAGGCGGCGCGTCGCGCTCTGCTTCGAGGATGGCGGCAAGGCCACGGCCGGCGATTGCGCTCGTCGAGGACGTGGGCGTGTGACAGTCCCTGCAGACGCCATCGGGGTCGGGGTCGTGTAGCGCTAGCTCGCGCGGGTGTGGGTGATGTGGCACCCAAGGGCGCCCATCAGGATGCTTCCAATCGCGGCGATGTATAT